AGCATTGTGTTAATAATGATAGTAATGTGAGAATCTATTGATTAATTACTCAAATATCAGAAGGACAGGAGGAAAGCATTCCCCCCCCCCATCTGAGGATGTTATTACTTTAACTGAATTTTGATAGTATTTAAGCTAAGTGTTGTCAGAAATGTAGAAGTCAAAAAGAAATTTGAGGTTAACCATTAAAATAAAAAAGAGTATATAATCTCCAAAGTACTGAAGTAGGGGTTGGCAAACTTTTCTTTGAGGGAGTAAGTGACTTTTCTGCCTAGCAAAGAAGCAGCTACAGATAGTATACACAAATAAATAGGTGTGGCTGAGTTCCAATAAAACATTGTAAATAAGCACTGACATTTGAATTTCATCTCATTTTCACATACACAAGATATTTTTTATTATGGGCCATACATAATAAAATGTTGGGTGTGGTCCAGCGTTTGTCCCCCTCTGCGTTGGAGAACAACGCAAGGGGGCAGAAGGAGACTTAATTTCTACTAAGACCTAAAAGGGGAGAACATGTGGGCAAGAAGTTACAAAGAAGTAAAAATGAAAACAAAGTTGTCAGGAAAAGAAGTGATTTCTCTGATAAATATGAGTGCAGTAAACTTTTCTAGTAGCGAGAAATTTTCAGATTGGTATATCCTCAATGATACCAAGGCAGTAGGTCATGGTATATCCACATTACTATAACAGCACTCCTTAAGTTGGATACATGAAACAGTGCCATTTAACAAACTGTTACTAGTCTACCATGACAGAAGTACAGGAATGGAATAACAGCGGAATTTTATAGTATTGTGACATTGCCATCATTTCCAAGTGTGTTGTCATTTTTATGGTAATTTATTTTATTGTATTTTACAAAACTAATGGTTTGAAATTTAAAAACAAAACTCATTTGAGAAGCACTATTAGAGAAAACAATGCAGGTCTTTAGAAATATAAAGTATCTACATGTTAAATGAAAAAAGCAAATCACAGAACAGTATAAAAGGTGTGATATAATTTGTCTTTGGAGCTTTTAAAATCAAATTCTTAACCATGATATGAAAATGTGGATAAGCATAAAGGGTGTGGTCATGACGAAGTATTTTCATGTTTTAGTCTCTATTTTTTCTTGACTTTTTAACAATATTTTTAATTCTGTAGTGATTTGAAAATATGTAGCTTAAATTAATGATGTCTTGATCTTTTCAGTGAATGGCACTGGCCTGTTGAAAATCCATGTAGAAATAAAGCACCTTTAATTTCTACTTCATCTAGTATATAACTTTTTTTTTTTTTTTAAAGACTTACTTATTTATGCATACAGAACTGGGATACAGGCCAGAGGTGCAGGGATGGTGAGAGGATTCACCAGAGACAGAGTGGGGAGCAGAACAGGCAAATCTACAAAGTACACTGCTGAGGGGAGTAACAGGCAAGAGAGGAGAGGTCTGCCATGCCATGTGGGTCACCTCCGGGGCTGGGGATCAAACTCTCACTGAAGCAGCTGTGGCTCGCAGCAGTGCTGCATCCTAAGCCGTTGTGCCACCAGGAAGGGCCTTAGTATATAACATTTATTTTAGATGGATTATAAACCAAAACATGAAAGTTGGAACAGTAAAGCTGCTAGATATGAATATATGGAATAATGTCTTCATCACTTTGGATTAGACAGACTTTCTGAAATAGGACACAAGACACCAAGCACAAGAGAAAAGATTTATAAAATGGGTTCAATGAACAGTAGAGGTTAGTATCATAAGACACCAATAAAACCAAAAAATTAAGCTGCAGATTGAGAGAAGATATTTGTAAATTACGTATGTGAAACCTAGAATATTTTTCTTTGTATGTGTTTATCTGATGAAGGACTTTGTGAAGTATAAGTTAACTGGAAAAAAGACTACCCAATTAAAAAATGGGGAAAAAGAAGCACTTTTCAGAGATGATATTTAGATGACCAGTTTGTATATGAAGAGGCTCTCAACATCATTAATCACAAGGGAAATGCAAATAAACAGCTATAGCTAGATCAGAATTGCTAAACTAAAAGGACTCAAAGCTCAAGTATTGCTGAAATAGAGCAGTAGAGCTCTGTTCCATTGCAAGTGAGCTTCAGTTAATGCAGTCACCTTGCAGAGCACGCTGTCAACCCAAGATGGGCGGCTTGAATCCTGTAGCGCACCAGTGCTCTTCTCCAGGGGTCATCAACACAGTTGAGTGTTTGTGTTTGACAAAGGACAGGTACAAGAATAACCATATTGACTTTATACCTAATAGTCAAGAAATCACTGTGTCAAGAGTATATTTTGTGAAATATTCATATAATTTATATGAATTGCATGCATATAATTTACCACACACCAAAGCAAAGAAGCAAATACTATCACACAGACATAGCTGAATCTCACTGACTTTGAATAGAAGGAACCTAAGACAAAAGAAGACCTACCTTGTGACTTTATGTGACTTATGTACAGAGCCATAATACTGGTTTCTTTGGGGGTGCTATCAACTGCAGAGTAATCTGGGGTGCTGGAAGCATTCCGTCTCTTAATTTGGTGGTGACACACAGACCTACCATTTAGTATCTGCCTGCTCTAAGTTAAGGCCTCGATTCATTCTTTCTGATGTAAAGTTCTGCCATTGTATAACAAATTCTTAACATATTAGGACCTTTTTCTAGACCTTAAAGTCTTTTCCATTTGCTATTTTTGCAGATCTTCTGTTTGACACTGGTTGCCTCCTAGTTCATGTAACATTTAGTGATGTCTTTTTTACCTACCCTAATCCAAAAATATCTTAGATAGTCTTAACTCATAATCGTTAGAGTCAAGTAACCTAACTCCCATGTCCTCATGCCATTGAAATTTTGTCATTACATGAAACTAGTAACATAAATTTGGAGATTATTGGCATCTGGACTGAGTTAAGGAACATCACTAGCGTCTCCATTTCCTCCCAGGACCACACTTGTCTCCAGGTGGCTACTCCAGGTTGTTTTTATCTTGGCACATTTTTGTTTTGCTGTTCTGAATGTGAACTTTTTCTCATTACACATACATGCTCCTGGATATTACATCCTGACCATTATTGTAACTTGCTAATCATGTTAATAATAGCTATTATTTATAAAAACTGTGTTAAGTATAATCTTTTTACTTCTCACAGTCTATTTACTTAGGTAAGTACTATCACAACATTATGCTCATTTTTATATTCAGGGTTCACTGAGGGTCAAAGCTGGTTTGTGGCAGCTAACATTTAACCCAGGCAATCAAGTCTCAGAGCTACGCTGCCTAAAAATCCTGCACTGTGGACCTAGGTGTCCTCCTCTGGAGGAAGAGAGATGTGTGGAAGGATAGTGTGGGGTCACATCCAGTAGTGACGGATATCACTGACAATGTAATGGCTGAGTTGTAAGTCAAAAAGGCCTGAAGTAAGGTTGATTTTTTGGGTAATTGTTCATTTATATTTGTTGGATATAGTATTCTAGTTTGGATTTTCTCAAATAAATTCCTATACATTTTTTAAATTTATTAAAAAGACTTCATAATAGTTTTATATATACTCAGGGTGAGAATAAACTACTTTACCAAATGATGAAAGCTGTTGTTTTAATTGTTCTCATTGTTTGTAAGCAGCTACTATTCATCTCCAGTAGAAACATGGTAGTAAATTACGGTTCACATGGCAGTAATAATCACCACTATATCTTGTGGATGTCTAAGAGGTGAATATATGGTCCTTGGGGAGATGAAAATGTTTCTGAATCAAAATCAGTTTGAGGTGCCAGGAGCTAATTTCTAGAGCTACACTACCGGATGCTACCTTTATCTCACAGCTGACTCTACTGTCTATCTTGTGTTTGTTTTTGATCCTTCCATTTGCTTTTATATTATCCACTTGTTTCTTCATGGTGGCAAGTGTCTTTCTGAGAGAATATCTGTGCCACACTTTTTGTGCTGCATGACCTTTTGAACAGACTATGGGTTGGTTGCCTTAACTGGGGTGCTTATTTACCACAGTAATTTTACGTATTTCTGGCTGGGAAGAAAGAGCCTAACTTACATAAAACATGGCACTAGGTGTAGGGCCTCTTCTTTATCAGCAACTGTGACTTACTCTAGAGAATGGGAATTGATCAGTTTGCTGGTTAATGTGTTTATTAGTAGCCACTATACACTGTACTTTTAAATATGAAGAAGTGCGGGAGAGGGGACTCCCTGGTGCCACAAGGGGTTAATTTAAGCACAGCACTATGAGGTTATCCACAGCCACTGCAGCAGGAATTCAACCCTAATGGCCAGGGAGCTGACTCACGTGGTGGAGCTGACTCACATGGCACAGCAGACCTCTGTTTCACCCACTGCTCCCCTCAGCAGTGTGTTTCAGTACATCTGCCTGTTCTGCTCCCCACTCAGTCTCTGATGAATCCTCTCATCCCCTGCACCTCTGGCCTCTTTCCCAGTTCTTCTTGTATGCATAAATAAATCTTTAAAAATAAAAGAAGTGACTAACATTATAAATAACTGTTAAATGCAGAGGCTGAGTGGAATGAAAGGGACATTATTAAAGAGAATGATTGTACATATGATGTAATAATAGTCTTTTACTAATGGCTTATATGCCTAACAACAAGTAAACTTACATGTCTTGGAAGCAGCTTGACTAAAATATTAAACTAGGATTGTTAAGATCTTAGATGAGTTACTGGTAAATTTTAGGGACTTTTCCCCTTGATATCATCCTAGCTCAGTTCTAATTTAATGATATTTGAAAAGAACTTTCTGAGAACTTACAAACCTCATTTTTATCAAACTCCTCTAAGAATATTTTTTGGTATCTGTGTTACTGATCTGAGGTCAGTGCTAAATTTAATATATTACCATGAGATGCTTATTATGACACTAAAACGTTTGGTGTAAAATCTAAAACTGAAATATATGTGGTGATTGGCAATAAAATGTAATATGTATAATATGTGTAAATGCCTGTTAAATTGGTTTTAGGTTGGGCCATGCAGGCTGCTGCCTATATCTTCATTCATCGAAAATGGAAGGATGACAAAAGCCACTTTGAAGACATGATTGATTATTTTTGTGATATTCGTGAGCCACTTCAACTTCTCATATTCCCAGAAGGGACTGATCTCACAGGTAAAGTTGCCTGGGTGTGGATTGCAGAATTTTAAACTTGACAGAACTTAGAAATTACCGAGTCTAAGCTTCTTATTCCTCAGATGAACTGAGTCCCCAGAAGGTTAATGGCTAACCCCTCAGGACATGTAGTTAATAGCAAGCCAGAACCCAAAACTCTGAAGGTCAGCCCCAAGAGTCATTATTATAACACTTGCCCTAGAGCTTTATATTTTAAATGCCAGTATATATTTTAAATATCAGCCATTTACTTTTATAGAAACCTGGTCTTTAAATTTTCTTGCTATTTTATGTATTCTTTCCTCTTTCAAGATACATGTTTATTCATTATATCCCTTTTCCTCAGCTTTTTTATGAGAAAAGGAGCTGATACTAACCAGTTTGATTTATTATTGATTTAATATGTGGCCTCTCTCCTGGCATTTTAAAACTTTATCCCTAATATAAGACAGACAGACATTGTCCTTTCTTTAAGAAAATTAAACTTGTCATTGAGTTATAGGGGGGCACTGGAGGATATATTTAGGACTTTTCTACCTTCCCATATATCAAACTATGTAAACAGAATGCTAGTGGGTTCCAAGGGATTCTTTTAAAGATTAAAAGCAAAATACAACCATTCAGCTTTACTAGGTCAGTAGTTTTCAAATACTTTAAAACACAATTGGTCATTTTTCAGATGAAGCCTTGTATTGCAGTCTAGGATCTAGTCACAGAGAAAACTGCTGGTTGATGATGGTTTGAGCTTGGACAAGAAACACTTTTATAAAATCTTTTGACTCAAAGAGCAAAATTAAAGCATTTTGATATCTTGGTCACTTTAAGAAATTTACAACAGAATTTGAGGATTCAGTGGATGAAGTTCTGATGTCTAAGGGAAGACAGAGTTAAAAAGGATAGAACTGAAATCTAAAAATGACAGATAGCATGGAGAGATGGAACATGAACTTGTCTTCCAGATCCTTATACCAGATTGAGGCAACTAAGCTACTAAGAAGGGCAACTCCAAGAGCTTTTGAGAGGAGAACATGTAAATGAACATGTGGACACATTCTGTGAATAGTAGTTTATGGAACCCAGTACCCAAAGAGTTCAAAATGAAATTACAAATTCACAACTATTAAAGTAAGTGAATGAGTGACTAAGCTATATGCTAATAGGGCAAATTAAGATATTTGGGGAGATAATTACCAAAGGAGAAATCTTTGATTCATCTGTTGCAGATGGAACTTAGCTGAATAAACTATGGCATATTTTAAAATATATACTCACTGTGTAGTGTATCAATTTTTATAGTTAAAATTCTGAAAGTGAGTAGTACATGGAGGATGATGCTATAATGTCAATATTATAGACTGGTTGTATTTTAAGTTTGAAAATATATTTTTAAGTTGTTTCCAGAGCTGATTGTCATTATAAGGTATAATGGGTAGACAGGTCATCTTAATTTCATAGTACTTGAATGTTTCAGACTTAAATCTGGGTTATGCAAAAAAACCTACGCAGGGTGCCATTAATGAAATGACAGGTTGATTTATATATGTCAGCTAAAGAATAGTAACGGTGAGTTATTTACCAACTAAAATTAATGGAAAAAGCTTCATTGATTGCTGCTGCATTGGTACAGTACTATTAAAGTGTTCCTACATTATATCTTCAGAACCTATAAAAATATATTTAACACTTTACCCAGTTTATTTTTCTCCTGTCTTTTTAAGGTGATAGACCGAAACACCCAGTTGCATACTTTGAGAGCCCACTGCATTCATTTGTACATCATTTAGTTACAAATTCCTGAGTTAAAGTGGTATTTTCATTTTCATCCCATCTTGCAAAAGCCAAACGATTTGCCAAATAGAGAAAACAGACTGATCCTGTTGCAGATAGTTATTGAGTCAGGATAAATTATTATTATTATTTTAAAGAGAAGCAAATGTAATAATGTAAAAACAACAAACAACAAACAACTATAAACCAGAGACATTCTACAGGGGAGGACAGGGGAACAAGATCAAAACTGAGGTGGGGAAAGTGCACAGGACTGTGCTGATGACACACGGGTGAATTGGTGGTGGGAAGCCCACGGGGATTACAACTTAGATGGAGAAAAGCACAAAATGAAGAATGATGTAAAAAAAAGTATATATGTGTGTACATAAAGTCTAAAAATTATTATTTTTTAAAATTAGGTTAGCAAAATATCTGCAATTTTGAAAGTGTTAAAGTTGTTTGTAATTAGCTTTAATCTTGAAATTTTAAGCCCAAAGAGAATATAATCCATTAATTTGTTAATCCAGCTAGTCTATACATTTTCAAATTAGTACATTTAGTTGTAACTACAAACACTATATTCATATGTTAATGTTGCTTATAGCTTTTTTGCTACTTATGGAAATAATATATGTTGGGCTATCAGAAAAGTCATGATTCATTTTTGCTTGAAAAACAGAAAAGATAGGTTATGACTTTTTTGACAACCTAATATTAATTTGCAGGAATTGAGAAGCATAACAATTGTAATTGCACTTAGCATAAACAGTATTGTCATTGCTTTAGGTCACTTGATCACGTGCATACACCACACCAACAGGAATAAATTTTATTGGAAATTGGTTTTATACTTTAGGGGGCACATAATGTTATAATGTAATCTCTCACATCATTATTTCTTTGAAAACATTTTTAAAAGCTGAGTGGTTTTATATTATATTGGTTTATTAGTCAAGGAGGGGTGTCCAGAAAAAAATGTTACCATTAGGAGTGAGTGTGTTTGCAGGTATCTGTGCACACATGTGCAGAGAGAAAGATAAGGGGAGAAAGATTTTAAGGAGTTAATTCACAGGATCGTTCACTCTACTGTGGAAGCTTAGCAAGTCAAAAATTTGCAGGGTAAATCAGCAGAATGGAGACCTGGCAAAGATTTACAGGTCAAGTCCAAAGGCAGTCTGCTAGCAAATTTTTTCCTGGTTGAGGAGGTTGGTCTTTTTCTATCAAGACCTTTAACTGTTTAGATGAGGCTCACCTACATGCTTTTACTCAAAGGATACTGATTTATCCAAAAATAACCCTCACAGATACACCTGTAATATCTAACCAAATATCTGAATACTACGGCTTAGCCAATATGGCATATGAAATTAGCCATCACAATTGATATATCATAATTTTGAATTCTGTTTCCCTGATTTGGAAAGGAAAGCTTTTGCAGATCCAAACAATTACAATAGTATATGCAATTAGATACAGAAAACTAAGAAATAGATGAATGTCTGGAAGCTTATATGTAAAACAGTGCCTACATTCATGAAGTTACATTCCCAGAGGAAAGACAGATTTAAAAAACTGTTACATTAATAAAGATCTCAGGTATTCTGACGATATATACAAAAAGGAGAGAAATAGAAATTGGTGGTGTTGAGTATTCAGAAAAAGACCCTTACTTTTTAAGAAGAAAATAAATGAACAAAATAGAAAGCCATGCAGATACCTGGGCAGAAGGTATTCTAGATTGAGAGAACTGCACAGACTGAGTTGCGCACATGCCTGGCTGGTCTGAGAATGACAGAGCAACCAGGCATCTCCCTGAAGTGAAGGGGCTTTGGGGACAGGACAGGAGGCAGTGACCAGAAGCCAGCAGGATGCTGTGTGCCATGATAATCACTGTGGCTAGTGGGGGCGTGGGGGTGGAGGAAGTGTGGACGGAGGAAAGAATGCACCCATTGTAATCTTTGTGTCTGATTATTTCTGTCTTTGCTGATGTGGCTCAATGCTTTAGAACTACCTCTACTTGTATTCACATATTGTAACAGAGATCAGTTTTGTCTTCAGATACCCAAATGTCAGTGATGAGCTGGAAAAGCAGATTAGTTAGCTGCTTATCTTTGTAGTGTTCCTAGAATTCCTCATCCCATGTAAAGTCCTACTAGCTGTCTATAAGAGAAAATATAAAAATATGTTTAAGCTGCACAAGTGACAAGACACTTTCAAGACAGTTTTGCTGCTTGTAGTTCCAGGCCCAGGATATATTCCTCAAGTGGATGTGAAAAGAGCTTTTTTACACTTTAGATTTGCTGGGGATCTCTGGGCATGTAATTATTTTAATTAATTCAATCATAACAGAGCATTATACCTTTAATAGGAGTGTTCCTCAGATGTTTTGTGTTGTGTAGTTCATCTGTGTTTTGAGGACTCTGATCTTAAATTTACTCTTAAGAAAGTTGTGTTTTCATGCATGTGATGTTTTTTCTCTTGTGACTTGGAATAGTCTATCCATCTCAGGATGCAGCTGAGGATTGTAGGTTCCAGCATCTGTTGTCATCAGGAGGTATTCATGATCTCCCCCGTGGGTGAGGCCAAATTTCTGAACATGTTACTTTTTCCGAATTCATTTGCTGAATAGTGGGTTTAGTTCTTCTTGGAACTTATAAAGTTACCTCATGGAATGGAAAAAGAAGTTTTTGCCAACAATTGGAAATATACTTGACTTTAACTATATTCAGCCAAACTATGTTCAGATGTTGTAGATGATGCGCTGATCCTGTGCCCGTTCTGTTGTGGAGTGGTTTTAGTTAGTAGTATTAGCATGCACTGTGCCCAGGCAAGGCAGATATTTCACTTTGCATTGAAGCCCCAAGTCACTGGGGTTAAAATAAAGGTTGATTTGATATAGTTGGCAAATTACTATTTTATTTGGTTTGCTTAGATCCTTATATATTTATTTTGGTTTTATTAGTGTTTTATATATATATATATTAGTATTTAAATTTTTGTTACATATGGAGTGGCTTATGAAAATTTCAGCATATCATTAGTTTGTGTTTCAGTTTTCGCTATAAATTATTTTATGAAATCCTTTAAAGAATTTGAAAGATCTGAATGTGAAGCTTAGGGAACTATTATAAAAAGTCTATTAGTACATTACTACAGACTTTTCAAAATTCCACTAAGAGTTAACGCTAGGATTTTTATTGGGGGACTAAAGACAGTGTTTATATCTTCTCATTTCATTCCACATGCACTATTGTCAGTAATGACAGAAAAATCAACCGTTATTGTCAGAGACGCTCTGCACTACATCCTCACCTCATGTCTCTAATTTTATGGTTTATAATGGTCTATTGTTTTGTTTAGAAAACAGCAAGGCTCGAAGTAATGATTTTGCTGAAAAAAATGGACTTCAGAAATACGAGTATGTCTTACACCCAAGGACAACGGGCTTTACTTTTGTCGTAGACCGACTAAGGGAAGGTAAGTACCCATCTCAAAGTGTGTTTTTTATGTAGGTGACAGAAATTGCTAAACTTTGCATATACCTTTTTAGAATTTAGAAAGCACTTTTTAAATATTTCCTCAAGGAATAAATTACTACATGTTTATACTAAACTGACCTCATCTCATTAGATGTCTCATTATATATCCTTCGAAAATGTTTGTAAAATTAAATCTTTACCCCTTTTTGTAATAGAAAATGATGCATACAGTAACGCTGTCATTTTTTTTAATGATGTTTCCTAAAGCAGCAAAACTGTCTTGAAAGTGTCAAGACACTTAAGTTTATGTCTTATGTCACTTACATTTATGTATATCTTAAAAGTATTTTTGCATTCATTATTCTATTCATGAGTCTGTCGGTTGGGAGGCAAGTGCTGCTGCCTCCATGTAACAGTTAACGTAGATCAGGGATAGAACCCCACCATTCTTGGCTCATGGCTCGTCTTCCTGCCTCACCTTCTCCCAGCTAGAGCGAGTGAAGGGAAAGTGGGGACGAGGTGATTTGATTGATGACATCACACCCATTTAAATGTTTTGATATTTTTTGTTATGTAAAAATAAAATTTATATTTATTACACCTGCATAGTTGTGTTTATATAAACATACATGTGTGTACAAGAAACACATATATGACCACATATAGAAAAGGAAATATCCAGAAACTTAAAAGTGTTCAAAACTCAGTCACCTAGCTGAAATACAGCCCTGTTTGCATGTTTCTGCTCTCCACTCTGATTCTTAGCAAGCCCTAGTGGGTAGTGACATCTGTGACAAATTATCACCTTCATCTAGGAATTGCTGCATTGTCATATAAACCATTTGTGCCTAACATAACAAGTATGAAAATACTATGTATGAAATGATATGATGTTCTAATTTCTTCCCGTATGGCAACACTGTTGTTCCTTAAGGCTTGACATGCTTTAAGGTCTACAGTATAACTTCAGGTAATGAACCCTGCCCAGAGGAAACACCTTTTTAACTAAGTACTTACCATTTTAAAGAAAGTACAAGTCAATCCAAAATCATCTTAGTGTAGTAAAATGTCCTTATTATTCCTTGTTAGTTTGGCTTGTTTTTGGATTTCTGTGTCTGTGACTAATATGAGATGGGCTGTGGACTTGAAGGTTGTCGTGTTTATGAATAATGTTTATTTGCCCATGTAGGTCATAGGAATGCAGTTCTTCATGCCTGTGGAATGGGGTAGGGGGGCCCTGAGACTCTGGTGTGTGTGTGTGTGTGTGTGTGTGTGTGTGTGTTAATGTGATACAACTTTACTGTGGTATGCAATTTAGACTTACCCTTGACACTCAACAATATGTTTTCTATTTCCTCACATAATCTGATATTTCATAGTATTTAATGTCTTTAAAGGTATTTTTGACACACACTCATGTACTGAATTTCTCTCAACACAAGTGTTCTGTTGGAACACATTTTTTGCTAATACAGCTCTTCCTCAATGTAGGCAGGATAATGGAGATTATTTTATACTGGCTAAATTATATCTGTAGAGTTCCCTGCTCTGAAATCTAGAAAATATTAATAGCAAACTGATTTATAACTTTGGGGAATGTATATTACTTAATCATCACTGAAAGTATTGGTCAGCAACCACAGCCTGTAATTTTTCCTGCCAGAACTGATAATTGACTTCCCCCCTCTCAATATCAGTGAAAAAGAAAAACACAGTTGGATTATTCCATTTGCTCCAGTTAGTCAAATAGAATGGGCTTACACATTACAGTCATAAGAAGCATGATGAAAATAGTCATAGCAGTTAAAAAGTACTAACATGGAACATTTGCTGGGCACCAGATGCTACACTAAGATTTCTTTATGCGTATGGGTAAATGGTCCTCACAACAACCATACCTGCTAGGTACCACTATTAATATTTAACCCACAGGGCAAAACTGAAGCAGAAATTGAGGTGAATCAGTACATGAAAACTACTGAGATATCATTTAACTGAGCAGCCGGTATTGTTTACATTACAGCTTGATGCCTTTTGAATTTATAGAATGATTTTAAAGTCCCGAAAACATATACCTTTGTAATAATAGTGAGCAGCACAGTTTTCTGCAAAAAAAGATTTTTTTTTTTTAAAGTTTATTTTTACATCATTTTTCACATTTTTTTTTTAATCTCAATTGTAATCCCCACGGGTTTCCCATCACCAAATCACCCCTGTGCCACCACCATAGTCCCGTGCATTTCCCCCCCTCCCC